GAGGAGCGGACACATTCCTGCCCCGGGGACACAATTCCGCAGTCGCGGGAGTGGCAGCACAGCCGGGGCTGGGAAGGGGAGCGAGGAGGGGGGACCGTGAGCGGCCACGCGGCCGTGTGGGGTTGGGGAAATACCTGCAGGGAGCCCCCGTGGCCTCCGCTCCCCAAGGCCGAGGCCACGCACAGGGCTGCGAGAACCAGCGACCCCAAGAAACACACGAGAGCAAGGCTCACTAAGACAGTTTTATTATATAAAGCCTTAGGAAACATACAGGAGGCTGGGGACACTTCCTTCTAGAGACTGCTCCAAGCTCCTCAGAACAGCAACCGCACAAACTCCGATTCGCCTGCATCAAAGCTCCCAGACGAGGGGTCAGCAAGGATCTGAGTACAGAATTAACAACTCTTCAACATGCAGAACATTCCCCACTCGTAGGTGAAGCCTGTGGCAGGGGGCTAGCCCCTTCAGCCCGCGGTCTGGTACAAAATGCCATACAGGCACGACGAGAGAGTATATAAAAGGAAAAAAAAAATCCAAGAAGTTGCATTGAGAAAAGCACATGGCTAAGCAGGAAAGCAGGGCTGGCACGAGCGCCCTGAGCAAGACAGAGCAAAGGCGCTGGAAAGGCAGGGTGGCACAAGGTCCCACAGAGCCTGGAGCAAGGACAGCACGAGCCCCGTGTGACACCGCGAGGGCTCGGCGGCCGGGAAGCTGTTTCGCACAGCTAGGGCCAAAGCGGGGACATGTTAGGAGATTCAAAGCTTAGGAGGTTGAAAGTTTCTGCCCAGGCAAGGCCAGATGTCCCCTTGATTTGGCTCTGTTTTGGGGGGACACAATGGGAATGAGCAGGGCTGGGGAGCCCCTCACTCTGCTGGCCACGGGGGGACACTCAGCCCTGCAGGAGGGAGCAGAGGCGGCCGGGGGAGATGCCGAGACAGACAGGACAGGGACAGGGACAGGGACAGAAAGGCGGCAGGGCTGGAGCGCTCCTGTTCTTTCCACATCTGAGCAAGAACATTTCCAGGGAGCCTTGCGGAAGGCTCTGGATTCAGGAAAGGTGAGGTGGCTACAGCAATGGGGTCTGTTCCGCACGTGGCACGACGCGTGCTCTTGTGGCCGCGCTCCCGCGCGCTGTCCCCAGCCCTCCCGTGTCACGCAGTGCCACCTGCCAAACCGCGTGCGGAGAAAGGGCTGTGCTGCAAAGGCACCCGCTGCACAGGCCCATTGGCACAGCCCGGGAGCTGCTGCCTTGATCGCTCAGAGCACAGGGAGCACACAGGGAAAAGGGAGGAATCAGCACTGTGCAGACAACAGCGGCTACGTGTTGCCAGCGCGGCCGGCCCTTCGCTCAGCTGCGGCCCTGGGTTCAGCTAGCGCCAATCAGACAGGAAGCAAAAAGAAAGACTAAATAATGGGGCACCTTAAAGCTCCCTTTTCACTTTTATTTAGCTCTGGCTCTGCACAGAGCCTTAGCGTAGCATACTCTAGCCTTCATGGAGGGACACGGGACCCTTTGGAACACACCGCAGTTCGGGGTCAGCCCTCATCTCCTGCGCCTTGTGCTCTGCCCTTGAAATGCGATTGGGGATATTTGGCACAAAGACCCTGAGGAGTAGAGAAAGCCCCTGCCCCACGGCGGCCTTGGAGGCTCATAGGTCGCTGCTGCAGTCGCGGCAGAGGATCTCATCGTTGTCAGGGATAAAGCCCTTCCCAACCAGCGAGGTGTTGCAGCGGGCACAGTTAAAGCAGTTATGGTGCCAGTGACGGTCCTCAAAGGAGACGTATTTCCCGCCTCCAAAACCTGCAGGAAGGACAGAGAACAAGGTTAAAGCTGCTGGAGAAACTAGGACAAGCTTCCTGCACACAAATGAGCCTCTTCTGAGCTCTTCTCTTATGCACATCCCTGCACTGCAGCACCCAACACCCCAGGGTAGTGAATGGATCTGACACAGACATCCCTGCTCTGTGTGGGCATTAGGAAGAGCCAAACCACCTGGCACAGCAATTGTGCAAGGCTGAGATCCTGGACCAGCTCCATCGTTTCCTCCCCAGATAGGAGCACAGAGCAAAGCTGCTCTGTCACTTGGACTGACTGCGCTGGAGCAGCCAGCAGGGACACTGGAGCAGTCCCTCCAAGGCAAATACTAACAAAATGCGAGAAAAAGCTCTCCTGCCACCAGCCGTGTCCAGGCTCCGCCAGAGGCCCCGGGGCAACTTCCCTCCCAGTGTGGGCAGCCAGGTCACACGTGAACTCCTGAGGGCAGTTTCACTCGGAGAAGTCACCTCCCGCCTGGACACAGGGCAGGTGAAGTCACGTCCCCCTCGGAGGGACGCGCCGGGGCCACGCCGCACGCTCACCCGTGATGGGCTTCGTGCAGGCGCTGCACTTCTTGGCATAGAGGTTCCCAAAGCACTTGATGCAGTAGGGGTTGTCATCCTGGGAGGTGAACTGCTGGCCAGCCAGGGGCGTCTTGCAGCCCGTGCAGACAAAACACTCCTTGTGCCAGGGCTCGTCGCGGTAGGTCACTCCGCCCTTAGTCAGGGACTGCAGGAAGAGAGAGCACACGGGTGACACGCGGCACCATGTGGAGCTGGTGGCCAGCGAGGTGGAGGAGTCCTCTGCTCTCCCTTTCCAGCTAGGATTTGGAGCAGAGCAACGCAGGAACCAGCTCCTGGCACATTTACAGCAGCCTTTAACCGCAGGATGAGGGGACACCTCCTCCGTACGTACCTTTTTGCAACGAGTACAGCGAGGAGCAAACTTGCTCTCATAGCAGGGGACACAGTAGTAATCCTTCTGGTCTGGGATGAAGGACCGTGACCCGATGGGCTGCTGGCAGCTGCTACATATGAAGCAGTGTTCATGCCAGGTTTGCCCATTGTACTCCAGCTTGCGGGATCCTGTAGAGAAAGCCATTCTCAGTGTGACACAAAGGCACAAATCACCCCCCTAGGTCACAAGGAGACTGCATAGGGCACCCCACAGTGCTGCTCATCGGGCCTTTCCACCCGCCCAGCCACCAAATGACCCAGCGGAGCGGGCACGCTGCAGCTGGGAACAAGCGCAGCGCTTGGCTCCGCGTGCCCCTACCCGGCATGACGGTCTTCTCGCAGGCAATGCACTTGGAGGAGAACTCGCTGCAGTAGCAGTCGTTGCAGAGCAGCTCCTCGTCCTGGCAGGTGAACGGCTCGTCGGCCAGCGAGCGGTCGCAGCGGAAGCAGCGGAAGCAGTGCTCGTGGTAGTGGCGATCCTCGTAGTACAGCTCCTGCGGACGACAGCGGCACGTGACGAGGGCAGGGGACGGACGGGTCCTGGCACCAGCTCCTGGCGCGGAGCCCCGTACTCACCCTGCAGTCGTGGCCGATCAGCTCTTTGCACTCGTCGCAGGTGTTGGCAAAGTGGGCGTCGTAGCAGGGGATGCAGTAGGGGCCCTTGTCCATCTGGATGTACTTGCGCCCGTACAGGGACTCCTTGCAGTTGTCGCAGTCAAAACACTCCGTCATGGTGCCAGCTTGGGGGCCTCCTTCGCCTGCTAAGGGATCAACAGAGGTGCTGGGTCAGTACGGGCTGACCCTGCCCGCGGTGTCCCTGCACAGCCCTGGGGACAAGGGTGGCATCGTAGGGACCCGGGCCCGTCAGCAGCCACCAAGAGGGCAGGACAGGGACCTGAGCATCTGTTCCTAGGCTGCCCACGCTTCCAGAAGCTGCTGCATGAATCGGTGCTGCAATGAATCTTCAGGTTTATACATGAGCACTAAGAGCCATGCTCAGAAAAACCGAGACACCTACACGTGCAAACAAGCTTCTAACTGTCTGTCTCCTTGCTTGGAAGCAAAGGGTGAATTATGACCAAAAGAGCGAAAAAAAACACCTTTTGGCGTGAAAGATTTGGATCTGGTACCCAGAACAGGTCCACACGCGTGCACAGCACGGGAGGGACAGCCGCCTTGGGGGCCATCAGTGTGACCATGAGCCCCTCACAGACCCAAACTCAGCTGCCCGGCCCCACGGCAGAGCTTTCCCTGACAGTGTGTGAGCCAGGGCCTCAGCTGGTCTCGTTTGTAGCAGCTCAAATTCTGGAACCTCTCCAGAACTTTAAAGCAGCTGCTCCAGAGGGAAGCAGAAACCAGGAGCCTACGCCGTGCCCAGCTGCAAGGCTGCATCCCAGGAAATCTCTGCACGTGGAGCTCCAACTAGCAGTACTCTCAAGGGAGAAAGTTTGGGGAGGGTTTGTGCTTTACATACGACAGAGCGCCTGGGTTCTGCGGGCAGGACACCAGGCACTGCCCCATCTCCTGCAAGACAGGAGGCCTGGGGAGATCCTCCAGACAAACCATTTCAGTTTACCTCAAACATGAACTCAGGAATAAAAGTATCCTCCGCCTGTTCAGCGTAACCTGCTTATTCCTAAATATGGAATTCTTCACTTGTACCTTCACACCCTTCCTTAATACCAACTTGCTGTCAAGTGTAGACAAGCCCACAGAATTGCAGCGGCGCGCTCGGCCGCGGAGCGCCGCGCTCTGCAGTTTTCTTTGCGAAACCGCCCACTTCACAAGGAGCTGCTGTGGCACAACCTGCAATTTGGCCCTCACGGGGGCAAGCAGCTCAGTGCCACCTCCCTCCCTCCCGCTCCGCAGGGAGCTCCGGCTCGGCGCAGCCGGCGCTATTCCGGGTCCGCCTGGCCGCACGGCTCCCAGCTGTTGTCAGGCTTGGCCAGCGCCGGGATAGGGCTGCTGGGGAATAAATCTACTGTTCCTGCATGGCTACGTGACTGACAGGCCGGGAACAAAGTCCCTTTTCAGACGATTCCGGTGCTCAGCTGCTCCCTCCAGCCTCTGCCGCTGCCCCAGCCGGGCTCGCGGCGGGATGAGGGCGGCCGAGGAGGGTCCTGGGCCCTGCCGAGCCCGGCTCCAAGGGGAGACCTGACATCCCAGCCGGATGCCAGGCTGATGCCGAGCGCCAGGATCAGGGCGCTGCCGCCAGCCCGTGCCACACACCCAGCTCCCTCCTCTGCCCTTCCCAAGGCCGTCCAGAACCTTCCTCCGCACAGAGACGAACCAAATCAAAACCCTCCTCCTCCTCCTCCCATGCTGCTAGGGATAGGAACTTTCCAAGGTGTGTCTGCAATAAAAGGGCCTCCAGAAAGCGCTCGTAGCCAGCAGCCGCGGCGCTGCCTGGGCCGCGCTGCCTGACGACTCCATCTCTGGCTGTGCCACCCCAGCTCAGAGGACGCCCGAAAACGCGAGAGGAGGAAGAACTGCATGGGAGAAGCCTTGGCTCTCCCTAGTGACACCGACCCAGCTCTCAACCCTGTTCATCTCCCCGCCAGCCGCAACCCCCTTCTCCTTCCGCGGGCACCGAGGCGCTTGCCAGGGCACTGCTGTGAATCCCTGGCAAGGCGCAGGCGCCTGCGGAGGGCAACACAACCCGGGCGCTGCGGACGGGTGGAAACCACACGGTGCCCGGAGCCGCCCTTGCAAGCGCCCTGCGTTCCCTGCTGCGTTTGCCTCCTCCCTTGAGGAGCTTCTCCCCGGGACGGCCGGGCGGTTGGGTGACTTCCATGTCCCCCGGCTGTGGCCCGGCCGCTGGCGCAGCGGACGCCAGCGCTGCGGCACCGCAGACCACTGGGAGAGCACGCGCAATCCGTGCCATGCTTCCTGCTCCGGGAATAAAGAGCAGACCCAGGAAGTTTGCTTGGGGGTATTTGCATTAGATAAGCTGCGAGGAAGGGATCTGCGTGCTCTTTGTTCGGGTGCGCTGGGAAGGGGCGTTAAAGCCCTGAGCAATGCCAGAGCAAACACTGCATCCTCAGCCCCAAGGACCCGGCCCTGCTGGAGACCAAGTTCATGGAGAGGAGGAAGGTGAGACAAAAGAAATGGAGCAGAAAATAGTACAAAAGCCCACGACTCTACTGTGATTATCACGAGGAACTTGGAAATTTCTCTATTCATGCTGAAAAGAGGTAGATATTAAAAAATGTATACGAAAACCAAATGAAAGCTGTAATTGAGACCCCGATTTTGAAGAGTTAGTATGCCCAGCGCGCCGGGCTGCCGGGCAGAAAGTGCCTTCCTTTCTCCCACCTCAGAGGCTGCAGGACAACACCCAGGCCCTGAGCAGGGTGCCAGGGCTGAGGGCAGCCCCAGCAAGCGCTGCGGGCACAGGCAGCACGGATCTGGGATGAGATCTGCCCAAGGGTGGACGGCAGAGCTGCCCCAGGGTCCTCTCAGCTGTCTTGCTGCCCGCTTGAGGGCAAAAATAAATAACAGATCACAGGCCTGCCAGCTGTCTCCCCTTTGCTAATAGATATACTTTTCTGCATGGAGAAAAGGAATTTTAGTTCCCTTCCTGTGCCCAAACGCAACCAGCCCGGGAATGGGAGCTCCTCACAAGCAGCCTGTGAAGTGTCCCGGGATGCAGAGCTGCTGCCTCCGGACGGAGCTGAGAGCAGCCGCGTGCATGGGAAAGGCTCCCGCCCGCCGAGGACGTGCAGCTCCGTCCCTTTGTAACCGCAGAGCCGCACGCGGAGCACCGCACCGCCACAGCAACCGGCACACGGCTCATGGGATCATTACTGCAATCCCGGCCTCTATAGCCCGGGGCCTGCGAGAGCAAGGCAGGGGTAAGGCTGCCCGGGGCCAGGCTCTCTGTGGGACGCAGATGCACGAGGCCAACCCTCCTCTGGAGGCACCTCCTGCCACCGCAGGCTCCTCTGGCCAGAGGCCTCACTTATATGGTGCCCGGCAGCCCACTGTAACTTCACACCGGCTTTTTGTTTCTGCCCGGTCCCAACCAGCTGCTCGACGGAGCGATCCCAGAGCAAACCACGCAGCTATTCCTAGGAGGAGTCTTCGTCTTTCCAGGACACAGGAATAGACCTGCCTCGCACGCCGCGTCGGGCTCCTGCCTGTTCCCGCCGTACCGGGCTGCGCTGGCAGCCCCTACCTAAACAAACGCGCGGGAGACGCAGCCGTCCCCATGTAAGGACAAGGCCGGCCGGGGACGAGGCTCTGCGGAAGGCTCTCCGAGTGCTCCGGGGTCAGAAGAGGAGAACAACGCTTCTTGTTCCCTGTCGGCTTTCCAGGCTCATTAGAGCTCCTGGAATCCGTGTAAAGTTGCTGCCTGTGGCCGACCCTAAAAGGGAAACCAGCTGCCTCTTTTCCTGCGCGAGGAGAGGCCAGAGGGAGCACGCTCGGCCCCGTACCCGGGCCGCCGC